ATAATAATAATAATAATAATAATAATAAATAGTAATGTATAGAAATACTTGGATAAATGCAAAATAACTTAAGTTTATGCATTAAATCGAGTGGAAATGCATTATAATCTCAACACATAGATTCATTCATTAAAATATATGAGTAATATAAATAATTAAGTCTTACGGATGGAGAATGATATCCAATCTCAAGAGAAATTACTGACCACAAGAACTGAAATTCCAATTTTTGGAGACATAATGTAATTATTCACATATGTGACATATTAAATATCTTATATAATATCAGACATGATATGACTCTCTAAAGTATCCAAACTACTTGGGTCAAATCAGAGAAAAAATAAATTTGGCTTTAACCACCTTTCCAGGCATTTTGATCTGATTTAAGGATGGCATAGAATACTATGCAGTTAATTAGTTATATTATCTACACAAATATCAAAGATAAAAATAAAAACAACATTTACATACATACTACCTAATTCTTATGTATTTGCATGTGTAGCATCTAAATTGTACTTATTACAATTATACCACTCAAAACTTTCATATCACACTAAAAAATAACACTATCTTCACTTTTAAATTGTAAAATACACATTTCATATGCATAAGTAAGGTGAAATAAAAATAGAAATTGAGTTTAGTTGCTGGATATGTAAATACATAAGAATCAAGTGGTATGTATGTTAACATTCAAAATAAGAAATGTAAATTTAGTGGTCGGGTCGGACGACATCAAGGGCCCGATGGGTAGCATCGGGCCCAGACAATTGCAGGCCCAGTAGAAGCATCATAGCATGGGTTGGTTGCGGGTTGTGTATAATGATAATCCTGTTGTTAATAGCAAATAATGTCTTCATCCACGTTAACGGTAGGCAATGTGGTTCCTACCATGGGTTTAGGGGTTTGGCCCATTTGTCTTGTTTAAATTTTGGAGTATGATTGCATGTAAAGGTTATTGTGTGCCCCCCAAAATTATTTATATACATGCTGTTATTTCATTATTATAATTGTTTTCAATAAAATCAAAGGTATCATATTATTATTATTGTGTGATAGTTCTAAAGAAAGATACTTCTTATCTATTTAGAAATATATATGCATAAGTCAAATAATTAAATCATTAAAAGGCACATTCAAATTTTCTTAAAAAATTTTCCCTAGAAAATATTTACATGTAACTAATTTAAAAAATATTTTTGGTAAAATGATTAGATACTCATAGTTTTCAAACAATTTATAGCCAAAATTAAAAATTATAAAACTACATTTTACTCTTACTAAAATGCCGTTGATGTTCAAAACTGCAAAACTTATAACTTATTTTTTACTTTAACTATTATGGAATCATTAAATAGCATCACCAAGTAAAAGAAATAATAATAATAATAATGATAATATAGGTGGAACGGTAAGAAGACAACAACAAACCACTTATAGTAATTCATTCCAGCGCTATAAAACATTAACTAATTAATTAAAAAATTGTATTGCGGAATTACAATAAAATATCATACATTCATAAAGTTGTCTTGAGATTCTGATAAGTTATTATTTTGTTTTGATTAATGGTAACAAATGTGGGTTCTTTAAATCTTCCAGGGGGATCAAACAGGGATGTCTATTTTCTCTTATATTTTTATTATGACTTTTGATTATTTATCCAGATATCTTAACAGGATGTTCTCTAACTATCCCAGCATGTATTATCATATCAAAGGAAATTTTGGGATTTCTAATCTTGCTTATGCTAATGATTTGGTGATATTTTATAATACTGACAAGGGATCTATTAAAATGTTATGGGAGGGCCTAAGTCATTTCCAAGAAGTTTCTCGCTTGGTTTTCTTTTCTAATAAATATAGCTTCTATTGTTCTAAAAGGGTCTCTACTACGAAGAAGAAGTGGATTCAAGACTTTACTGAGTGTAATAAAGGGAGTTTGCTTATTACTTATTTAGGCTTCAATCTCGATAAAGGCAAAAAAAAGGTTCATCTTTTTTATAATCTTATTGAGAACATCAATAAGAGTATCTTGCTTTGGGAGAATCTACTTTTGTCTTTTAGAGGTAAAGTTACTGTACTTAAAAGTTTGCTTATTTCTATACCTCTTCGTACTCTTATTTTTTTTGAAAATTCCTATTAATCTAATTAAAAAACTTGAGAACAGTTTTAATAAAATTCCTTTGGGCTGGTAAAGACCATAAAATTCATTGGATTAGTTGGGTAAAAATGTGTAAACCTACTCACTCTGGTGGATTAGGTTTAAAAAGCATTAATGATTTTATAAAAATTAGTTATACGAAGCTATGGTTTAAATTCAGAAATGGCAATTCTCTTTATTCTTCATTAATGAAAAGTAAGTATTGATGTAATTCTCATCCTCTTTTTGTTGCTCCTAATCCTTCTGATTCCTTTGTTTGGAAGGAAAGGCTTAAGGTTGCTAGAATTTCTAAGGATTTCTTCTTTTGGGATGTTGGTGATGGGAGTTGTAATTTTTAATATGATCTTTGGTTAGGTGAAGCTCCTTTGGCTAACTTCTAATTGAGCCCTTTTGATATTGATTTTGTTGTTAATGAATGTTGGAATGATGATACATGGTACTTATAGAAGCTTAAAAATTTGATTATTAAAGAGGATGTTAATCTAATTGCTAAGATTTCTATTACTATTGGAAATGATAATATTAAAATTAAAGGTCAAGGTGACAACTCTATCTCTAAAACTTTTTGGTATGTCTTTGCACTTTTCTATTGGTAAGGATTTAAATTGGGATTGGGATTCTTTTGTGTAGCCTTCTCAATCCATTTTCTTTTGGAGGCTTTTTCATCGTTATATTCCTACGGATGATATTCTTAAGATGAAAGGTTTGAGACTTTTCTCTACATGCTCTCTTTGCAATCATAATGAGGATAATATGGATCATAATTCTATTAACTGATCATTTGCTAAATATATTTGGTCTAAGGTTTTCCCTCTTATGATAAAAAGCATGATGATATTAATTCTAATTCCATTGATGGTTATGCCAGTTGTTGGAAAAATTATGGAGGGGGTCTGTTTTGTGCTTCTAATTCTATTATAGTCTTTTGGTTCCTTTGGACTGCTAGGAACGAGGCTAATCATATGGTCTGTTTTATGCTTCTATTGTCATTATAGTATTTCTCAAATGTTATGTCTGTGGAACTGTCTCGTTTAGTTAAGAGAAATGTTCTGAATATTTCTTATATTCGTGCTGATAAGTTTTTCTAATGTGTTTTTTCTTGCGTGAGTTGCATTCATGGCTAACGGTTTTTAGGCTTTTTCTATTTTTCTTTAGTGAGTTGTTTGTGTGGAGGGTTTTAGTAGAACTATTAGCCACACCCCTATAAATAACTTTTTTTATTAATAAAATTTCCTATGGGAATCGTAAAAAAAAGTTGAGTTTATATAAAAAAACCATTGACCATGTGCCTAAATGCAAAGAAATTTAATTTATCAATATCACAAGTACTTATTACCACTTGTATTCACTATTCATGCATATCCTATGTGCTTCATATGGTGACATTATTTATTAATCCATTTTTCCAAATCCTCACTCAAATGATAAAATTCTCACTCATATTTTTCAGTTTTATCAAATTCTCAATAATTTGATTGCGATACATGTAAACACATCGATTTAATAGTTCAAAAAAATCACATGAATATTTTAATTTATAAATATCAATATTTTAAATGTTTTATATGTAATTATCCCTATTTATTTATATATTCACTGTACATTACGATTGCACCTCTTTCACTCTGTCTCCATGCATTATTCTCTTATCTTCCTCTCTCCAAAGCACAATGAAGCAGTCAGTAAAGACTAAAGACTGCCTTATATGTCGGGCGAGCATTCAATGTTTCCTCTGCTTTATATATATATAAAGAAACTGTTGACATGTGAAGCTGTTTGGTATTCAAGGGCCACTTTAGTAATTTGGATAGGGAAGCTATAGATTGGCAATAACTAAATAAAAAATGTTGAATGAATGAATGAATAAATAAATTATATATATAATAAATAATATAAATGTATATTAAAAAATGAATATATAAAAGTATAGTTGAAATACACGTTTCCATGCTCTTGCTTTTGACGCCAATGTGTTATGAGTGCAAATATCAATGTTTTGAGTGTTAAATATATAAAATACAAAAGAATTATGTGATGTAATTTTTCGTGTGAATATATGCTTATGTAATTCATGCATGCTAACATTGCTCATAGATGTTGCTCTAAATCGTTTCACTAATAATTGTTCATTACGTGTCTATTTTTTGAAGGGGCATTTGCATACATACCAACCACTTCATATATATATATATATATATATATATATATATATATATATAGACAAAAATGTGACG